GGGCGTCTTTTTAAACAGTTCCAAAGGCGGTTTTTCTCACCTTGGGCGGTTGGAAGAGGGTTGGTCTTCAACCCCAGGAATCCCCCAGCCAGCAGGGCTGGCTGGGGAATTCTGGGAGTTGAAGTCCACCCATCTTCAAGCGGCCAAGGTTGAGAAACGCTGCCTTAGACATTGTTAAAAAGTCTGCCTGAAATATTACGTGTTTCGCTAAAGCCCAAAATCTACCCAGGATCGTTCTTAACGCCTTCACACGCTTCTGCTTCTCGGCGTCCTGCGGTCCACGTTGTGGCTGGGTTTTGAGCATGTAAATGTACCGCCCGTTGGAGACCTGTGCATAACTAGCCATGGAACAGGCGCGTGCCCCCTTCATTTTCTGCCGGAAAATGCTAAAAATATCCACTATCTACCAGGAACATCTGGAGAAGGATCCAAAAAGTCAAAATGGCAGCTGTGATTGTGCAAGTGAAGCCAGGCCCCTTTTGAGCCTTGCACATGCTCAACGCACATTAAAAACAGGGCAGAGATTTGGTGGCACCATCACGGCTGCCATCTTGACTTAAAAAAAAAAGCCGCGGATGCCCTTGTGACCCGAAATCCCTTTTTCCAGACTTTTCAGTGTTTGGCTCTGGATTAACTCAATGCTAGAATAACAGCCACCTGTTACCTCTGAATTCAGTCTTTCAGCTGGGTGGAAAAAAAACACTTTGGTCCGATGCGAGATTCATTTGACTGTTAAAGAAAAACGCTTTCCACACCCACCATGGATCTCTGGCAGTTTATTCTGGCTTATACTGGTGTCGAGGTGAACTTTGGTGAAGCTAGTCCAACTTGACTCCCTTTTAACTGACCACCTCCACAGTGTCAGGATGGTGGTTCAAAATCAAGATTCGTTTGCAAAAATTTCGCTCTAGTTTCTGCAAAGAGAGGCTTAGGAGTACCTTCTCAGTCAAAAACTTGCTCTGCGTATAGAAGAGAGTTAAATCTCTGATACTTTGGAAATTGCACTTTGGAATTGATTCAGGGCCTTCCCGCAGAACACAAATCCGTGGCCCGGATCTTCTGCAGGGCTCGGTGATGTGCAGAGAGCCAGCCACCAAGATCGGCCAGACAGGGTTGCTCTTTGACCTTGAGCAAGAACGGGACAGCTTTGGGGTGACCGAGGACGTTTTCAGGGTCGGTATTTTGAAGAATTATCTCAAGACACTTTCTGGCCTTGTTCTTGAAGAATAAGGATGCTACACCCGTATCTTCTCCAGAACAAGCTTTTTGAGAACCCTGTTGTGTTTGAAGCTGTTTCTGTAGCAATTAGAGGTGTCCGCGGGCATGGTCAAAAAAGTTGAGATGGTTGTTGTGAAGCCCTAGTTGTGGCCATCGTCTTGATCTTTTAGATCCTCCCTGTGGACACTGTCAACTGCTACAGAACTAGTATCTTCATATAGATCAGTGTTTCTCAACCATGGCTGGCTGGGGAATTCTGGGAGTTGAAGTCCACCCATCTTAAAGTGGCCAAGGTTGAGAAACACTGATTTAGATGAAAACAGGCTTGTAAGAGGCCCT